CCCAAGCCCCTGACACTTTAACAGCATTGCCAAGTGATACTCCAGGGCCTCTTGAGAAGGGAACAGTGACCCGGGGCCCTCAAGACGCCTCCCTGGGGAGCTTGGCGGGTCTCAGTGCTAAGCCACAGCTCAGCAGGGCTCTGCTATCAATGTTCACTGGCCATTCAGGCTCAGAATTGTTACCTGGTGCAAAATGGAAACCCTGGCCTGTGAAAACCGAGCACACAAGTTGTATCTTCAGGGCTATTCAGAGTTGCATTTTGGGTGTCTGTGGGTTCTTACTTTTTTTTTTTTTTTGGTTCTTACATTTTTAACATTTCAGAGGGTCATACAGCACATTCAGGAACTTGTTTCTCGCTCTTTTTTTTAAAAATATTTTTTTATTGACTTCAGAGAGGAAGGGAGAGGGAGAGAAAGATAGAAACATCAGTGATAAGAGAGAATCATTGTTCGGCTGCCTCCTGCACGCCCCACACTGAGCAACCCAGTCATGTGCCCTGACCAGGAATGCAACCACGACCTCCTGGTTCCTAAGTTGAGCTCAACCACTGAGCCATGCCGGCAGGGCTGGAACTTCTTTCTCTTGAACGTGGGCTCCTGAAAGGCCTCCAATCAGTGTGTGTGGTTCAGCCTTATTCCTTCTGTAAATATAGAGCGCCTACTGCATGCCAACATGAGGGGGCAAAGCAGACAAAGATCCTGCCTCCTGGGATCACATTTCATGGGAGGAAGTCGAGGAGAAACAAGTTCACTGAGTAGATGATCTTGTGTGTCAGAGAGTGAATGGGTGCTACAGAGAAAAATAAAGCCAAAATAGGGGGAGGGGAGCAGAGGTCTCTCTTTTTCTCTCTCTCTCGTTTATTCTGTCTTTTTTGGTTTGGTTTTTAGTTTTCTTTTTAAACAATTTTTATTGTTTTAAATTTCTTTTTCTGTTCTTATTTTTTTTTTGTTTGAAGAGCAGAGGTCTTTTTAAAAACAATCTCTAGCCCTAACTGGTTTGGCTCAGTGGATGGAGCGTCAGTCTGTGGACTCAAGGGTCCCAGGTTCGATTCCGGTCAAGGGCATGTACTTGCTTGTGGGCACATGCCCAGGAGGGGGTGTGCAGGAGGCAGCTGATCGATGTTTCTCTCTCATCGATGTTTCTAACTCTCTATCCCTCTCCCTTCCTCTCTGTAAAAACAAAAAACCAAAAAACAATCTCTACTGGGAGCTGAAATACTGTATTTCACTGGACACCTGGTGATTCACTCTGAGGTTCTTTTCCACTTTTCACTCTTAGAAGCTGCAGTGAATAAAAAAATGGTTTGCCCTTTCACAACCACTTGGGGACTTCTCACTGGTTTCCCCTGAAGTTCTTAACATTCCTGAATGGCTTAGGTGGCTTGGGATTAGTCAGCCTTGGGGTGTGTTTGGGGCCGTGAGGCTCCCTGGCCCAGGTATGGTGTCCCTGTGCCCCCTGCTGGTGGGTATCCTTCCTGTCCAGCTCACAGGACGCTCCTTCCTCTCCTCTCCCCCAGGGTTCCCAGAGCGTGTGGAGCTGGAACCCCTGCCCCAATGGCAGCCTGTGGGCGAAAACCTCACCCTACGTTGCCAGGTGGAGGGAGGGGCACCCCGGACAAACCTCTCCGTGCTGCTGCTCCAAGGGGAGAAGTTGCTGAGCCGGCAGCCTGCGGAGGGGACGCCTGTGGCTGAGGTCACGGACACAGTGTTGGCACGCAGAGGTGACCATGGCACCAATTTCTCTTGCCGCACAGAACTGGACCTTCGGACCCAAGGGCTGGGACTGTTCCAGAACAGCTCAGCCCCCAGGCAGCTCCGAACCTTCGGTGAGGCATTGGGAAGTTTGCAGGAGGACAGGCTCAGGCAGTGCTCCTGCGTGGGGTGCGGGGTTCCTGGGAAGGAGGCGCTCCTGGCCTTGAGGGGACGGAGAAGATAGTGACCTAGATTGCAAAGGCTTCTGGGAAGAGCATGTTCTTGGCCACTGGGGTGGGGTGTTGGGGGATGGGCCGCCTGGGCCACAGGATCTTCTGAGAAGGCTGTGACCCAGGGTAAGGGGGACGAGTGTCCTGAGTCATAGATGGCCAAGTCGCAGAGTCTCCCGGGGAAGAGGTGTTCCAGGTGACAGAATGAAAATGCCACGGGAAAGGGCTTCAGTTCCCCCCTGTTCACACCCACCTTCTCTGGCCAGTCCTGCCAAAGGTCCGCCCGCACCTTGTTACTCCCGGGATCATGGAAGTGGGCACACAGCGGTCCGTGACCTGCTCCCTGGATGGGCTGTTCCCGGCCTCAGAGGCCCAGGTTCACTTGGCACTGGAGGACCAGAGGCTGAAACCCACAATCAAGTACAGCAAGGACTCCCTCTCGGCCACCGCCTTGGTGGAGGTGGCCCCGAGGGATGAAGGCGTCCAGCAGCTGACCTGTGCAGTGACCCTGGGAAACCAGAGTCAGAGGACTCGGGAGAGTGTGACCATCTACAGTAAGTGGGGACAGGCCAGAGCTCAGGACGTGTGGGGCCAGACCTAGGGGCGGGGCTCACTGCGTGCTCCTCCCCCCAGGTTTCCCAGCTCCCAACTTGACCCTGAGTGAGTCTGAAGTCCCCGAGGGGACTGTGGTGAGCGTGGAGTGCAAGGCCCATGCTGGAGCTGTGGTGACGCTGAGCGGGGACCCAGCTGAGTCTCCATTTCCGAGGGCCCAAATCATGCTGAATGCCACTGCTGAGTACAACGGGCGTGACTTCGTGTGTTCTGCTGCCCTGGAGGTGGCCGGGCATGTGCTGCACAAAAACAAGACCCAGAAGCTCTTTGTCCTGTGTGAGTAGGGCTGCAGGACAATGACCCCAAACCTCCAAGGCCCAGGCCCTACGACTCCATGAGCTCATGTCTCTGGAGTCTACCCCCGCCCCTGCCCTGGGTTGCCTACCTAACTCCTCCAGACCTGGGTGGTGAGAGGGGTTCTGGTCCCTGACCCGGCCCTCCTCTTGCTGTGTTTCTCTAGATGGCCCCCGACTGGACAAGGAGAATTGCCCAGGAAACTGGACTTTGGAGGAATACACCTTGCAGACCCTGAGGTGCCAGGCCTTGGGGAACCCAATCCCCAAGCTGGACTGTCTCCGGAAAGGGGATGGGGCTTTGCTGCCCATCGGGGAGCTGAGGCCTGTCACACGGGATATTTCGGGCACCTATGTGTGTCAGGCCACCAGCCGTCGGGGTGTGGCCACCCGTGAAGTGGTTGTGAACGTGATCTGTGAGTGCCCGTGTTGGGGATGGGGCTGGGTTGGGCAGGGTCAGCGAGCCTGGCTCAGCCCCCATCTCCCCTTATTGTTCTCCCTACAGATCAGCAGAGTAACTTGGTCACCATCATTGCAGTGGCAGCTCTCATCCTGGGCATTGCAGCCACAGTGGGCACAGTCGCTTACCTCTATAACCGCCAGCGGAAGATCCGGAAGTACAGGCTACAGAAGGCCCAGGAGGCGGCCGCCATGAAGCTGAACACACCACCCTGAGCCCGTCCCTGGACAGGGCCTCCACCGGTGGCAGACTTATGCCATTCAGCAGCACCCACCTTTCTAGAATGCCAGGAGAGAGGAGAGAGGCCTCAGGCAGAACACAGGCAGCGTTTAGGGTCATGGCACCTGCACACCATGGCACATTCACACCTGACCTGTAGCCACAGGACTGAGCCAAGACTCAGGGGCAAGACTATGGGCATGACTGTGAGGGATGGCAAAGGCTGACCTGCCAGGGGGGTGTGACGGAGACATACCTCTGACATGGGGACACCCATCTGGAAAATATTGAAACTCACCCTCCTGCATGTGCCAAGGCCCTACAGTCCTGAAAGAGAAGTAGCCCTGCCCAGACTCAGGCAGCATCGAAACCAATTCCCACACTTCCTCTGACAGTGCTGTCTACTGACTGGTCCCAGCGCTGGATGATGACATATTTATTCCTTTTTCTTTTACCAGATATATATTTGTAAATAGTAGTGGGTTTTTTTAAATTGATTTTTCATTGAGAGAGGAAGAGAGAGATATGAAATCTGCTGCCTCCTGCACGTCCCCACCCCCCACCCCCCACTAGGACCCAGCCGTAACCCTGAGGTGTGCCCTGACCTGAATCGAACCAGTAACCTCCTGGTGGATGGGACAATGCTCAATCCAATGAGCCACACCGGCCGGGCCAGTTACCAGATATTTATTAGTGCCTTCTGTGTGTGGTAGAATGGTAAACAAGAGGAAGAGAAGTTCCTGCCCTCAGGCAGCTCAGTCTGATCTCATTCAGGGTCACCAGGTACCGATGTATTGGCTGCACAAGAGTGCCTTACAGAAAGACCAGGTGGGGTGGAATTTCCCACTCCATTGGCCAAACTGCTTCCCCCACAGCAGGGAAACCAACGTGGTTTAGCTGGTGACAGGACAATCCACTGGTGCGGACCTCTGTTAGCTGCCTCCACCCACATGCGCCTCTGCTAGTGCTCACAGTGACAGCTGGTGACATGCTTAAACACGAGTGTCCACTCTGTGATAGCTAAACCACAGGACCCCATGGAACTATGCCCAACCCGTGTGTCCCTGCTTTGTCCTGTTTCCATCTCATTGGGACCATGTTAAGAACCGAACGCTGGCAGCTCCAAATTCCCGAGGGCCCTGCAGACAGCAGGGGTGGGGCTGATTTCCAGCTCTTCCTGAAGCCTCTCCCTTGTGTTAATAAAGCTTTTTTCACGGGCCCAGCCTCTCGTGAGTTGAGGGGAGGTGCTCCGTCCAGCTGGAGTTCTTCCTAGCTGTCCTACCACAACCCTGTCCTACTTCCTCCCTCCAAGGAAAGGCTGCTGTTCAAGGCCCATTCCTGAGGCCCTAAACCAAATCAGGGCGTATTGGTAACTTTTGAGACTCTGGGGAAAATTAAAGATCTCTCTCTGGAAAAAACACACACGTTTGGTTTAAAATGGGGTTTGGAATCCCATTCTTGAGTGGAGGGAGGGGGGGGTATATGTCGCAGGGCTCCTGGCCCTCTAGGAGGCTCCGTCTCTCCGGGTGGGGCTGAGAAGGCGGGGCTTTGGGCTTTCTTATCTACAGAGCCAGCCTGGCTTCCTGGCGCGGGGTCTCTCACTACGGGCTCTTTGCCATGGGGCTTCTGCTTCCCCTCTCACTTCTGGTTTTGCTGGCGGTAGCTTACCCGGGAGGCAGGAGTGCGCGGAGGTGCTGGGCTGCGCGGGCGCAAAGCCCCGGAGGCAGCTCTCCCACGCTCTCCGCGACCACAGCGGCGTTCTGGATGCGCATAAGCCCCAATTTCATAGCCGTGCGGCCGGGGAGTTCGGTGTGGCTCAACTGCAGCAGCAGCTGCCCCCTCTTGGAGGGTTCCACCCTCCATACTGGGCTGCGGCGGGGCCAGAAGCTCAGCGGGCCCAGCTGGATCTCCTTCCAGCTGCTGGATGTAAGGTCCTGGAGCTCCGAGGTGCACTGCTTCCTCACCTGCGCAGGAGTGACGCGGGGGGCCACGGCCAGGATCCACGCCTACAGTGAGGGACGAGGGTTTAGGCCCTGCCGGGGAGACGGGAGGGGGACAGAGATGGGGCAGTTGACAGTCGCGCTAGGGGGCGCTCGCGGACCTTGCTCAGCGGCCCCCTCTTGCTTTAGAACCGCCTCACAGGGTGATCCTGGAGCCTCCGGTCTTGGAGGGCAGAGAGCACATTCTGCGCTGCCACGTGACGCACGTGTTCCCCGTGGGCTTCCTGGTGGTAACTCTGCAGCGTGGCGGCCGGGTCATCTACTCCGAGAACCTGGAACGCTTCACGGGCCTGGATCTGGCCAACGTGACGCTGACTTACAAGTTCCAGGCTAGGCCCCACGACCTCTGGAAGCCCGTGACCTGCCACGCGCGCCTCAATCTCGACGGGCTGGTGGTCGGCAGCAGCTCAGCACCCGTGACGCTGACATCCTGGGGTGAGGCATCCTTGCAATCCTGGGGACTTGAGGGTGGAGAAGGGTTATGACCCCAGGAGGGGCACTGGCCCAGCTTGAGCTCCACGTGTGTCATCACGCCTCCGAGTGCTCCATTCCTAATTCTCACCTCCTGCCCCCAGCTTGGAGCCCCGCGTCCAAAGCCTTGGCTTCCACTTCCATCGCAGCCTTTGTGGGGATTGTTCTCGTCCTGGGGGCCGTCTATCTGCGAAAGTACCTACTGATGCAGTCCGAGGCGTAGGAGGGGAGGTCCTTGCCGGCTGAGTCCGAGCAAAATCCGGGACAATTTGGAGACCCCTCCTAAGTCAATAAAGCCTTCCTCAGTCAGCCTGTTCCTCGGCATGAAGGTCCCCCATTAGGGCACCGCCTCGGAGAAGTGGTCTTTTTGGCCTTGTCACAATCACTTTCTCCAAGTTCCTCGTCTCCCTGAAGGTACCCGGGGGTCCCCAGTCCTTCTGCATTTCCAGCCGGTGTAGTAAACACATCTCCCGCGGGCATTATCAGCGCGGTGCAGATGGGCAAAGCCTAGGCGCCGGGGGGCCTTGGGCTGTGGGCGGGCTTCTGCTGACTGGCTCCGCCACTACCGCGCAACAGCTCTGATTGGATGTTTTGTTTCCTCTCCGCCCTCCTCCCCCTTTTCACTTTGATCCGGTACTTTTCTGGAGGACAAGAGTGGGTCTACCACTGACTTCCATAGTTCGTTTCCTCTCCGCCCTCCTCCCCCTTTTCACTTTGATCCCGTACTTTTCTGGAGGACCAGAGTGGTGACTTCCCTAGTTCACTTGTTAGCTCTGGGGACAAGAGCACAGACGGGCGGGCTCACATGTACATATCGAGGGACGTGGATATGCAGAAAGGGTACCCATGTGTTGACTGCTGGGAAGGAGCAATCAGATGGTCCACGTGGCGTGGCACAGACTCGCGTTCTGGCAACCTCCTGATAGCCACAGGGCCCGGAGGCCCGGATGCGGGATCAAAAGTATCAACAGGTGGTCTCTTCGGCTCGCGTGGACACAATCCGAGTGTGCACTGGATGCCGGCAGGGCCCAGCGGTCCAGGGCTCGGGCCGCCACGCGGAAAGGGACTTCAGGGGTGCTCTTCCGCAGCTCGTGCTCGCACACGCCGCCGAGTAGACACGTGCCCGCTGCACTCTGGGTAAATACAGACCCGGAGCCGAGCCAACCCTAATTTAGACGCCCGCGAACGCCGCTGCGCACGAACACGTGCTGCTGACTCGCTAGCACTTTGGTCTCCGCCCCCTCTGTCGCTTGCGGGGGCGCAGCCGGAGGGGTACTGGGGGCTTGGCTGTAATCCTCAGCTCCCCGGGGTCAAAAGGAGAAGGATGGCATTCCACACCCGCCTCTAGAACTGTGCCTACCTTGTCCTGCGCTTCCCAAATCTCTCCTAGCCCATAAATCAATTCCGGCACCAAGGGGCGTTGGTGGGAAGGGCAAAATAGGGGGGCGGAGCTCGGAGTCCAGCTCATTTTCACAGCATCTAAACTAGGGGTGGAAGGGGGGTTTGAGATGGTCAATCCAGCATTTCCCCCGACCTCCGCGTCGCCTCCGGGGATGACGCGAGAGCTCGAGGCCGCCCCAGAAGGCTCCGGGCGATGGGGCCGGCTTCCACCTAGACCCCGGGGGTCGCTAGCTCCTGCCCGCACGCCTT